TGGAAGGACCAACCAAGCAGGTCATGGTAGAGGGCAAGTTGTCGGAGGAAGCCCCAATTGTCAGCGGTGTCCCTCAGGGGACTTGTCTCGGACCTCTTCTCTTCCTACTGTTCATCAATGACCTTCCCAACAACATAGTGTCCTAGGTAAGACTTTTCGCAGATGTCTACAGAACAGTGAGAGGAGAAGAAGATGTTGACATACTGAAAACAGATCTTTCAGAGCTGGCAAAGTGGAAAAAAAATTGGGGGTATGGAGTTCCACCCAGACAAGTGTAGTGTTCTGAGGGTCACTAAGAACAGGAAGACCATCCAAGCACGGTACCATCTTAAAGGACACTTACTTGAGGAGACTAATTCCAGCAAGTATCTCGGGTGGATCTCTCAGCAGACTTAACTTGGAACCATCACATAGATAGAGTATGCCAGAAAGCAAACAGCACTCTTGGCTTCCTCAGAAGAAACCTGAAGATCTCCAATGAGGATATAAAGGCACGTGCATACTATACACTTGTTCGCCCAACCTTAGAGTACTGCTCATCAGTGTGGAGCCCACACACTAAGAAACAAATTGACCAACTTGAGATGATCCAAAGGAGAGCGGCGCGGTACACCACCGACAGATTTCGCAATACCAGCAGCGTATCTGACATGATGCAGACTCTACAATGGGAGACACTGAAATCAAGACGGCTTAAGATCCAGCTCACCATCATGTACAAGATTGCCCACAAGTTAGTGGATATCACAACAAAAACCTACTTAACACCATCTACAACTTGTACTCGTAGGAACCACTCACTAAAGTTCTCTCATCTCCCCTCACCCAAAAACACTTTCAGGTACAGTTTCTTTCCATCTACTATCCCAATTTGGAACTCTCTCCCAGTCACTGTAGCTGAGGCACCTGACTTGGTATCCATTAAGCAGGGGTTATCAACTCTTTCTTTTTAATACACTATCCAGACTATCTCCTCTGAAACTGGTAGTGAGAGCTGTGCCGGTTGGAGTTTATCTCCTGAGGCCGCTACGGTAGCCGGATTGGTCAAGCTAGCAGTGGGACGAAGAGTTAGTTACAGGAACTCACACATTCAGTACAAATATATATCTCTTCTTAAATATTATCTTATCATACTTGTTTTTATAATTTGTCAGATGAAACGCCGCGCACACACTGTATAATGGTCAGCCAAATGACAGAACAGTGGACGATGTAGATGTAGATGTTTAATCTGTATTTACCTGACATTGACGTTACACTGAATTTTGCCTAATGACGGGCGCCAAAATAATTGCTCCGCGCGGAGACATAGTTCCAAACTTCATCTCATATAGCAGCGATTTTTTTCTTATTTTAATATATCGACTTGTTCATTACAACATGTAAAATTGTCTATTTCAACAACTATTTATAATTCTAAACATAAAATTTAAGTAAACTGAGAGAGTAATTCTGTCGAATAACCGCACGTGCTAAAATACAGCCGTTTTTCGTCACTGTCGAATACAGCAAAAATATATGTGGCAGGTGTATTCCGACAACGACACTGCCAGTTGCAGGATAAAACTCTAAGGAAAGGTTTACCGTATAACCGTGGTTACCGTATAGCTTTACATCCTCTTTTCCAAAAGAAGATATTTACGAAAGATGGTTGGCTATCTTGCAGCATTTTTGATGTTGAAATTCAGTTTGTCTGCTGTGGACATGGTTGTCTCAAACGCATTGTCGCGATGACACCAAGATTTCCCAATTGGAACTTAAGATGCGAACCCTGCAGAGGATAACCGAAATCTCCCTTCTACAGTGAAACGTCCAACAGGTCATAATCTAGCGTCCCATGTTCATGTCTCTGATACCTAGTCAGACATGGAAATAAATTCATTTATTCCTCGGACGGAGTGTTCCAATGAGTTACGCTCTGTGTATAATGCAGATTCGGAGGAGGAACCAAGCCCTGCCATCGTATGCACCATTTTGAACATCACAAACGCAGACTATGTGTTACCATAAACAGTGAAAAAGGGCCTAGTGACATTCAAATTGTCGGAACATAGAAATGTGTAATGGATTCTAACCTCGTGTCGCCCTTTGAGTGCTCGCTCAGAGTATCATCTGTGAAAGTCTGATGCATGTGAGAAGGCGACTGTGATTGTCAATACATGTACATGTTAGCAACCTTGTGACAAAGAGACCACCACTAACGTCTTAACTCCTCACCTAGAAGTAGGGTCGACACCAGGTTCCATGTCTTCGTCTACAAGGAAGAGACTCAGTTGAACCTATCAATGTCTAGTGCAAGTTTATTTGAGACAGTGACTCAAGTGGATCATACCGTGTCAAGGGATAACATGTTTGAGGCAGATACCTAGCTAAATGTTAGTCATAACACAGTATTACACAAAGTGGACACTCAGGTTGACTCCATCTCTGTATCAGAAGGTGCTACAAGCAGTGATAACCAGCTACCTTTAGAACAGTCTCCAATTTTCCAACAACATGGATTTAGTGTTGACGATCTCGTTAGACTAGAGAGAAGACACAGACCATGAGAAATAGATTGAATATCTTTTCAAAAGTTGGTGTGGAAATTTTTCCTTTATAGTGACTCTGCTCTGATAAACTCGTTGCTACTTCACTCCAGAGTTACCGAGTCTTGCTCAGACCTTGGCTCATTATCAATTAATTTTACCTCAAAGTGTGATACCCTCTGTGCTAGAACTGTACCATGACTCTTCAATAAGTACTGACTGTGGCATGCAAGATACTCTGGACTGTTTGCGTGAGCATTATAATTTCCATGGATGTCTATCCTTGTTACAGACTTTATCAAATCATGCTCTGGGTGTTAACATAGTAAAATCACAAACACTAAATTTAAGAACACCATTATTACATAGCCAACCCCTTCTTGTCCATTCAGAGTATGGGAGGGTGACTTCCATGTACCACTTTCAGAAAGTTATTCAGGAAACACTTATGTGTTTACGGCAGTTGACATGTTTTTGAAATATATTTGGACGTGTCCTATTGTTTATTCGGATGCATTGACTGTTGGAATGGCTATGTTTGGTACCAGTGATATTTTGGTGTCGGACAAGGGTTCACAATTCATAGCGACAAAGGCAACTCGGGGATCTTGTTGCTTACTCCAAATCCAACAGAACTATACTCCCAGCTTCGTTTATAAATGTTTAGGAGCCTTATCTTAGCTGCGAGACTTACTCCTAATATGAATAAGACTAAAACAAACTGGGAACAACTATTGCCATCAATTGTGCTCTCTATGAATACCTCAGTACACTGGATGACAGATTACTCACCTTTTGAGTTTTTGTTCGCATAGCATCCAGCTTTTCCATTGTCACATGTATCCGCAAATATAACCTCAACATATTCTAGTGTTTCTACATATGGTTTGACCTACAGAAACGTCTGGACCTTATCCTTACACACACATCGGAGATCATTGCTCATTCACTATCAGACATGTTGAAGGGAAATGAAGATTTACGGACAGCTAGGATACTTCAGGCAGAATATATGTTTATCTACACAAGCAACCAATTGGTGTGTAACATAAAACATAAGAACATTTATTCTTAGGTCATGGTGGTAACGGAAGTGTTGTTGATATTCTCCGAGCCTCTCTCGGGGAAGATTGTTTCCAAGCTGGTTAATATGGACAGAATTAAACCAGCTCACATTCGCGCACCAATTCCGACCAACTATTTTCGTATCTAATATCAAAGTAGATCAGTTTGTACAAACAGAGGATCATCCAGTGTCTGAAACTGAAAATGAGTCAAGCAAGGTTCTGATGACACAGGACATCATTATGATCATACAGACATTGCTTCTGGAGCTTCAATCTGTCATCTTCATCTGAGCATGAACCTTCACCTCTTTCTCATCGGTGACGTCTTATCTGAAAACAAAAACGTTTCTGTGACTCTTATTTTTTGTCAGTTCAGAAAGTTTCACCCATCAGAATTGTCTGATAATACCTGAAACTCTCAATACTCATGCCCAAGAAAACTGTCAAATGGTGAGAATATGTCTTTCAATGTATTGTGCCCTATTTACATACCACAAAAATAGACATTACTTTGCACATATAGTTATTGTGCATTCTCATGAAACTATATGTATAGGGAATATGGATATTGGAAAATACTGTGCTATAATTCCATTCATATTAAATTGTTTTCAGAGTTACTGGTTCATGTTGATGGAATTGTGTCTAATTATGATGTTTCAGTTCTGAGAAGTTGTTTCAATTGTAATGGATCTGACCCATGCAATCTTGAATGTGGATCAAGGCCATTCATTTCCATAATATTGTTTGAAGTTTTAAACACATAAGACTCTTGTGACACAAGAAAACTTGTAAGTCTACTATGATAGCTACTACTGCCCAAATATCATAACTCTCGGATATTCTGATACTTAATCTGTCATCTTGAGAGTGTGTCAAAGTCATTCATAGGAACAAATTTGAAAACACCTCATTAAAGCATGTTACTTGTCAAATATTACGATCCTGAGACTAATGATGCGAAGATATTTGCAGAGTTCTTGTCTTTGGCCCCCTCAATTACCATGAAGTTATACTTCCAAGTATGATTTAGAATATTCATGCAGTAGAAGAGGCACCTATCAATAGGACCCTGTTCCTCTGCCTCAGAAGGGCAGGCCACAGATGTACACAGAATTGAGTCCACTCATGATTTGGATGAAATACATATGTACCCCCATCAAGACAGAAGAAAAATCATGAAGTTGTTCTTCTATTTCCCCTCCTAAGCCATGTCCATTTGTTCCCAGTAGAGTCTTTTACACAAAACCGGTTTCTTCACCAGAGGATGCTCCTGACCCAAATTTTGTCAAAATCATTTATGACCAGTAGAAAAAGTTGACAGCTGACACCACTTCACCCGATTCCACTATATCACATGGCCCTTTGGGCTATTTGAGCTGAAAATAATAACAGAAGCTGTTAGCACTGTAACAATATTTTTTATTCTGGTTCTGTCTGAAGCAGGTAAAATTCAACAAGTTTGTTTTGTTGTACAACATAAGTAAAACATTGACTGTACAGTTCTTTGGAATATAAGACAGCCAGGTACACAAACTCTCATGTATACCTTTAAATACAGATTTTAATTAACACCTTGTGTCAAAATAACAGCAGAAACATATTTTATTTAGGACAATGAATATTTTATACAAAGAAATTAAATTGTTTTCAAATCACAGTGAATTTGAAATTTATGGAAAAGACATTTAGACAAAGGAGTTGTTACATACAGTCAACAAAGCAGTTAACAATCCTCTATATATTCTTTCCAATAAAATACATCAAGCTTTTTGCAAAATTTCAATTGCACTGAAGTGTTAAAATGATGTCCAAATGTTAAGTGAAATCCATTTTTGGAACACAAAATTTAGAAAAGTTACACACACAGGGTAAGAGACAATTTAGTACACGAGTGCCCACTGTTGTATGTGGATAGCACTGGTACAGTGGTATGTGTGTACTAGTCATCAGGATAATTTGAAAGGTAAAAATCAGTTTTATATAACATTAAACAATTGCAGGGATGCCGACTTAACATGAAAATATTTTCACAAATAAATATAATTCAAAATGCTTCAGTTAATTTAGGAACACTTCAGTGTGAAAACAAACCTTCAATGTTATTATTTTGACAATCCACTCATGATATTGTGAAAATGAAATTTCAAAACCAAATTATTTAACAAAGCGAAGCAAAAGGACTGAACAACTGTAGAATTACTAGTGAAATTATGGAATCTCAGCCTAAGGAACTGGATCTCTGAACGAGGCACACATTGCTGGAACAATAACGTTTGTGAGACAAGACCTAACAGAGAGAAATACATATAAATAAAAACAAACAAACCAACAAACTGAAACTAAGGGCATTAACACAAGATAGAACAATCTGAACACCAGAATATTGTTAAACAACGGTCACAATTAACAGAGTATTGCTGCTAGACCCTAACCCTAATCCACCAGATAATAGGACCTGAACCAGCAATGAACGATGAGACAGAAAATTTTGAACTATAAAAATTGAGGGTATGATAAAATTCCTTACTAAACACACATCACCTTGTATCCTGGTTCTTCCTAACATTACAAGAGTAAATCTTCTAAACATTTTGTTTATTGAGAATCTTGTCAAAATCTCTTTTCAATGCACATTTGAATAACTGATTAGAGTTTTTCAATCTGGCATCCATTGATCAAAATCAACTATGTTGATATCATTCTGATACTGTCATCCTAGTTTCACCCACTAAAGGTGTTTCTACAAATTTCTCAACAATATTTGTTCTTACTTTTGTTAACAACATACTCTCATATATGAAATGATGTGAAGTTTTGTTTTTATAAAATAAGAAAAAAGTTAGTCTTTTGAAAGAATAAGATATCCATCATTACTTTGTGAAAAAAAATGACTAAACATAGTTACAATTTTGTGTTCCAAACACAGAAACGTTTTATCAATAATTCATGAACGACAAATCGTCACCTTTAGTATGTACCTCTAAATTGTCCAGAGCTCAGTAAGTTTTGGGGCTTCCTTTCAGATATATGAAAAATCTGTTTAATGAAAGGATGGACAGAGCATGGGATTATCATTGATAATAACAGTATTATGTACATGAAATCTTCATCACTTGCTTGACATATAGTTAGTATAAGCTGCCTCTCCAAAAACAATATAGACTTTTCCTTAAAAAACAAACAAAAAATAAAAAACAGTTTGGAAGACATGTAAACAATCACTTTGGAATTATACAAGAGCCGATATGTATGATGAGTTAAAAAAAAGTTCTGTAATATAATTATGATAACCTTTCTTTCCCCATCAATCCAGATATTGTCCAAAAAGCAAACAGAGTTCATAATGATGCAGCATTTGTAATAACACTGGCACCACAAGTGAATCTGAACTTCAATATTTGTTGGGTCAGTCTAACTTCAATCCTATTTATCAAGTTATTCTATGATATCTCAGGATTTTGTTATAATCTTTATATACTCAGTGTATGGTACCACTAACGTCTGTAGCTGTGAGATCATTACTCTCGTGATCTAGAAATTCAGAACGACAAGAGTGTAACTAGGAAAGTTATGCTTTCGTTAACAACATCTGAAATCAAGCCAAAAGATAACTTTTCAATTTATTTAGAAGTTCACTCTACAGTAGGTAAATCTTCAAAAACTTATAAATTTTGTCAAAATATGCCAAAATAATCAAGTGTGGTTATGTGGTATATCCAGAAATATGGCCTTCACCTGATGAAGTCACATGGCAGTCACGTGATGTAGTAGAATTGGCTGTCATGTGATGTAATAACAGCCATTATCTGATGGAGTCACATGGCCGTCATGTAATTTAGTAATTATAGTAATCAATTTGCCACCACCTGGAGGACTTCATTCACATGGCAATCATGTTTGTTATTTTGTAATTTTAAGTAATGAGATGCAGTTCAATTGGCAATCACCTGATGAAGTCACATTGTAGTCATGTGATATGATGAAGTGAAGTACTGATGGAGTCACATGGTAAACATATTACACGTCTAAGTACTTCAAACATGGATGTATCATTTATGTAATGAAAGCAATATATCTATGGCATGTGATGAAACTATGCACTGCAATAATTACATCAGGGCTACTGCAGATCTATTTAAAATCTCATTGAACCTTTTTATAAAAAAAAACAATACATATATATGTAAACGGTATACATTTTCAGTGTGATCATTCAAATTAAGCCACAGTAAATTTTTTCATCAGGCTAAAGTTTGGGGATTTTTTCATAAGGCTAAAGTTTTGGGATTTTTCCAAGAAAATATTATTTTGTTGACATGATATTTTGAATAAAAAAAAAAAACCCAAAATTCACCAAATACTTACATTTAAAATCAAATTCTAATAACACAACCAGTAGGAGATTAGAGTATGCTGTTTCGATGATTACAGTCACCTTCATCAGGCAAATGACTGACATACGTAGTGTATGAGATCTACACGGTCACCTTCACCAGACAAATGACTGACATACGTAGTGTATGAGATCTACACTGTCACCTTCATCAGACAAATGACTGACATACGTAGTGTATGAGATTGTAAGGAATCAACCAACTTTTTTGGTTGTACTTTAATCCTATGTACACTAAGATAAAAAATAATGTGACAAGATGGTAAACAGATTAAACAGACGAAAAAGTTGGTCAGTTCCTCACCATCTTGTACACTATGTAAGTCAGTGCTAGTACGCTCCACACTTGGTCAGTTCCTCACCATCTTGTACACTATGTAAGTCAGTGCTAGTACGCTCCACACTGGTCATTTGTCTGATGAAGGTGACTGTGTAGATCTCGTACGCTACGTAAGTCAGTGCTAGTACGCTCCACACTGGTCATTTGTCTGATGAAGGTGACTGTGTAGTCATCAAAACATCACACTCTAATTTTCTACTGGTTGTGTGATAGGAACTTCCATTCTACTGACATTACCAACCTGAAGAAAATGTTTAAAATTCTCATTAATTGTCTACTTAATAACTAACATTACCTAAAAATTCAAGGAAAATCATACCATTCGTTAACTTTACTCATTTTACAGTCAATGTTTTCAGCTTTTCACTGCAACAGAATTTGTAGGAATCAACCTGTACACTTGTACCACTATACATAAAAACACAAATACAAAATTTCAATTCAATCAGACATTATGATACAAGTAAAATTTACAATTGATTTCTCTGATGAACACAATGGAAGGCAGTTATAAATGGCATCAGGCAGAATCTGGGAGCAATGTCGCATCTATCTTTGTCTATAAGATGTAGATCTGATACAGATTTGTTGAACATCTTAGTAAAGCTACAACATTTCTTCTGTTTTACAAGGAAGCTATATCTTTTGGCACCTTCTGTATTTGCATGTGTTTTCTAATGTCACATGTAACTTCAGATCTCTCACAATACCAAGTATCATACAGAAATTAGAACACAGGTTTTGGACAAAGCATTATATCAGAAAAATAGTACAGTGGAAGAAATGTTTGAGACACAAATACCAAACCAAATCTCTGGATTATTGCTAAATGTCATAAAAAAGGTATCACAGATCTCCTGTTAACTTTAGCCTCTACCAGGCACAATAATGGGAGATTCTATTTGTTTATAATCATCATAATTATGGGATCTACCCAATCAACATGTAAAAACTTGTTAAATAACATACATCACCAGAAACATTTTTGTTCTTGAATACATTAAAAATAGTAAATTATTTGTATATAAATCATTTTCAAAAATTAACATTTCACTTGAAGATGAGACATTTTACACTAACTTTGATTTTAAAGCCATTCTTGTGATCAGCACAAAACTCTCTTTATGTATCAATATTAAAGTTTAAAATATACAAAATCAGGTATACATATCAACAGGTATTGTTTAAATATTTTTCAATGTAAATACATATATTTTACACTGACCAAGAGGCTGTATAAATTTATATACTGTTGATACAGGGAAAGTTTCACCGCAGTATGACTTTCACTATTTCAACTTTTTTACAAATAGGGTGAAACTGAGAAGTGGGCTGAAGTTTAATGTTAGAACCAAAACACATGTCTTTATTTTTTCAAGGTGAATTTAACATTCGGCAAAAGTGAACAATTTGAATCAAAGGTGAAAAAACCTGGAGTTAAATGTTTGCCCAACATACAGTATAATGATCCTGAATGTAATTTAAATAGTCCTTTAGCAACACATCATCAACTTAGAAATAATATTTGATGTTTTTGTTTCATCATTGCACAGGTGATATAATGGTATATGATAATTTACTACAAATAATGTTTACATATAGCATAGTAACATGTTTCTATACACGTATTGTAAAAATGTTTCTATGAACACATGAAATTTCTGTTTAATCAGCTTAATTTATAAAACTTGATGATAAAAATACACAGTTGAGTATCCTCAACTGTATAAAAACAATATACTTTCATAAAACATCAGCTTTACAGCTGGTGGTTTTTCTTAAAATAAAACACAGACTGAATCCATGATGCAAGTTGTAAAAGTTCAACCATAAAACACAGACTGAATCCATGATGCAAGTTGTAAAAGTTCAATCATAAAAATACTATTGTAATTCCAACCATGATTTTGTAAAGTGACATTTCATTGTCTTTTTTTTCAAGTCAGAAGATATTAATGTGATCAAAAATCAAAGTTTGCATTCTGACAAACGAGTGTAAATTCTGACAAACAAGACTGAATTCTGACAAACAACTCTGAATCTTAAATGACATTGTTATAACATGGTTAATCTTGCTGAAGAAAGCCTGCTGGTAAAATCACATAAAATATATGAAAGCTTAAAGAGAACCACATTGTGAAAAAAGTAAACAGTAATTATGAATGGCTTGAATGACTCAGATATCATTATATGTTGTGACTGAATGAACCCTCCACCATGTAAGTAAACCCACAGAGCTCACACCCAGCTGCCCATATACAGCCTCTCTTCGCAAAGGAGATAACTTGAATGTCAAGACAATTTATTATGTCCAAATCCATGATAACTTTTATAAATATATCAACTGTATGGTATTCTTCAAACCCATAACATATTCTAAAGCAAAGAATGCTTTCCCTGAAATAAGCCCTATTTAAAATAGTATTGAACAACAACTGGAGAAAAATCTACTGATTTTCCAAATAAAGAAATAGAATAAGTGTCTTCAATTGCAAGTCAACATTCTATCACAACTGTTATAAACCTCGGAAACCCTGTATACACTGTGTCAGCATTCACTTTCCTGATGACTGCCTGAGGCAAGTTGGCTTTTGGAGGGTTCTGAAATCTTGTGAGGTCGATCAAGAGAAGAATCTAAACTTCTACGTGACCCAGACTTTGCCTGAGTCACTTCTGTTCTTGATTTCACCTCTAGGAATTTGAAAGAATTCAAAGCTGAGGTAGGGGTTGTCAACGAGAAAGAGAAGGGACTTGGCGACCGAAGTCGAGGAGTCATCCGACTTTGACTTGATCCGGAACCATATGTTGAAGAAAGATTTTCTGATGACCGAGACTTTCGTGTAGCTATCGGTAAATGGGAGGTAAATTTCTTTCCATCAGTGAGGGAAGAAGACTGTGATGACATAGAAAACGAACGTACACCACGCTCAGAAGTCAATCCTGAATTACTGAAAGTCTGGACTGGTGCAGATGTTGGAGTGTGAGAGGTGCTAGCTGTTGATGATCCAGGAGCAGGGAAAGGTATGGAAAGGATTGGGGAGCGGATCTCTAGTTTTGGAACTTTAGCCAAGGAACTGTTACTCCCTTCCTCCATTTTTATATTTGTCATGTCGAAATCCTCCTCTGACCTATTAGAGAGTGATGACAAACTACGACGTTTTGGATGAGGTTGGAGCTGGGACTGGTCTCGACTATCAGCATCATAAGAATTCCTGTCATAGAAAATGTCTCAAAGAATTAAAAAATAACAAACAAAAAATTTCAAATTGTTTCCATTTCATTTTGGAATGACTTAGATGGATACACTACTTGTAATGGTGTGTTAAAAGACACATAAGAACACAACCAATCAAATTTAATGCCTTGCAAATTTCCAATTGGCTCACCTGTGTTTCATTCTGCTGAAGATCCCTTTAGAGGAGTCGAGTGACCGCCGATGATTAGAGGAGCTACCCACCTTCATCTTCTCCTGCTTCATAGGAATGTCTAGTTCATTACTACCAGCAAATGTAGACAAATACTGTTCCTTACCTGTCAAAAAAACAGTACAGGATACAAAGCTATGGACATTCATTAAGACTACTGTATATATTCAAAGCAAATCAGCAAATTGACTTCAAAATCAACTGATAATTCCAGTAATACTGAAATCATACTGTTACAAACATGGTTATCTAGTTATGTGTGTTTTGACATGTCAGCTTTGAAAGACTTCTTTAAATGCAGCCAATGTATCTGATAGAAATGAAAACACAATTTCCACATTATTGAAGAGAAGTTGTTCTTTCCCTGCCAGAGATACTTGCTGACATACCTGGACCAGAGAGTGGACAGCCTGGTACAACAGCTTTCTGCATTAGGACATACAATGCAGTGTTAGCCACCTTCTGTTGACCGTCAGACGATGTATCTTTGCCAGTGCCTTTGACCACAGCGACCTTGACTGTAGGTGCTATAAGGTTGTTCCAGAGTCCTGACAACCAGTTATAAATAGTATTCGGGTCTTTGGAGTGCAGAGGACACATAATAAACTGGTATGGACCAAACATTACGTCAGGTAAGCCCAGCTTTGCCACACCATCATTAAGTCTCTGCCATACACAAACAATCCATTCCACTGCACGGAACATCATACTGTCCATCACAGGCAGTTGGCCATCACCCATGTGGATAAAGTTACGTAGAAGATGTCTGGCCAACAGGTTACGCACTGGTTCTATATCAATTCGAAAATGTACCCAGCGAAACCTTTGTTGTATGTTCAAGTCTAATCCTGTGGATCTGAAACACAAGAATAAGGTGACCTATTTCAGAACTTGTGTTTATTTAGAACGTAACCAAGCAACCTGTAGCCATGAACATTTGTAAAGTCCTTCCGAGTACAGAATACAAACCTTTGCATATCAAAACCAGTCAAAAATCTTGTTTTAATTATAACATCATAGAAGTCTGAAGATATATTCTGATGTCCTGCTACAGTTTGCATGGTGACATAAGATACATACTGATGTCCTGCTACAGTTTGCATGGTGACATATGATACATACTGATGTCCTGCCACACTATCCCAAGGGACATATGATACATACTGATGTGCTGCCAGTTTGCTGGGTGACATTTGATACATACTGATGTCCTGCCACAGTTTGCTGAGTGACATATGATACATACAAACTGGGTGACATATGATACATACTGATGTCCAGCCACATTATGCTGGGTGACATTTGATACATACTGATGTCCTGCCAGTTTGCATGGTGACATGATACATACTGATGTCCTGCCACACTATGCCAAGGGACATATGATACATACTGATGTCCTGCCACACTATGCCAAGGGACATATGATACATACTGATGTCCTGCCACACTATGCCCAGGGACATATGATACATACTGATGTCCTGCCACACTATGCCGAGGGACATTTGATACATACTGATGTCCTGCCACACTATGCCGAGGGACATTTGATGCATACTGATGTCCTGCCACACTATGCCGAGGGACATTTGATACATACTGATGTGCTGCCACACTATGCCGAGGGACATTTGATACATACTGATGTGCTGCCACACTTTGCTGAGGGACATTTGATACATACTGATGTCCTGCCACACTATGCCAAGGGACATCTCTGTGATTTTAATCATCATTTTCCTCATTTCAAAATTATGAAAGAAAAATAAATAATTTGAACTACAGGTAGATAGTTTATATTCTTCTTTTGAAATTGCTGGTTACATACCTCAATATTTCTAACTCATGAGACAGAATATAATAAAAGTTCACTCGTACTAACACACAAGTACCCGTATTTGACTTCCTGCACGAGACAGGATCAGTAGCAAGGTTTCTATTGACTTCATCCTGCAGCTTCAACTTCATGATTTACAAAGTTGTTTTGTTTACACTTGATTTATTGAACAAATCTTAGAAAGTAAAAAACTTTATGTTACTTTATACCTGCTTATCATGGACATATATGTGGATTAAACTACAAAATTTATGAAAATAAAAACAACATGTGAGTATCTGTTACTGTATTTAATTATCCTGTCATTTACCTACCTTGATTTATTCATACTGGCAATGATATAGAAATTATCCAGGAAATAGAACCGGGCTTGGTTTTCTCCTAAAACAAATCCATAGTAATCTGAACAGTAAGTGTTAATATTTTGCTGTGAACATAAATAAAACTGAGCTGAATCGTCTCCTTAAATGAATAACAATTATCAATAAAAAGTGACATACCATGTAATCATGTTTAATGTTAGAAACATTTATAAAGGCTTTAAGCCTGGTCATATCAGTAAACTTTGCATACTTTGACCTACTTACCCTCAACAGTGAATGTATGAAACTGTCCCCTGTGTTCTATTGCTGTAAGTAACTTTCCAAAGAGGACAGCCACATCCACCTTCTCAAGGTCATCCAAAATGAGGATTGGGGCACGGTCATCTGCCTCGACACCTTCCCGTACCATACAACCTGCAAGGTCAAGGTCAGTCAACAAAAGTCAAGGTCAGTACAGGTAACTAACTCTATTTTGTTCTTCTTGAATAGAATCACCATATATATTGTGTAATAAACATTGTACACAGCTTCTTACCTGTACTTTGCAGTAAATTGATGAGATCACGATGACAGAAACTCTCGTGTAGAACAATACTATGAATCTGTGGAACCTTCCCACTTTCTTTTTCATTTCTCTGTCAAAAAACACATAGATCATTCTGAATCAGTAATAGCATTGACTGATTGTATAAAGTGAAAGTCTTGATCAAATTTTCAAGGTTTACTTCCTTTTTTCAATATTCCATAAATTTGTTATCAACCCTTAATGTAACATTTCCTTTATCTTTTTTTTTTTTGTAATTGAAAGCAACATTTGAAAGAAAAGCTAATTTCCATCACACTTAAGGGTTATTTAGAAGTATTTATAGCAACCAAATAAGCTACTTGGTGAGCTTAAGAACTACGTACATGTAGAAAATGGGCTGGTAGGTAAGCTAGAATGAACTACATACAGTGACGAGATGGACTGGTAGGTAAGCTAGATAGAAGTACTTACAGTGACGAGATGGACTGGTAGGTAAGCTAGATAGAACTGCCTACAGCGATGAGATGGACTGGTAGGTGAGCAAGATAGAACTACCTACAGCGACGAGATGGACTGGTAGGTGAGATAGATAGAACTACTTACAGCGACGAGATGGACTGGTAGGTGAGCTAGATAGAACTACTTACAGCGACGAGATGGGCTGGTAGGTGAGCTAGATAGAACTACTTACAGCGACGAGATGGACTGGTAGGTGAGCTAGAACTACTTACAGTGAGGAGATGGACTGGTAGGTGAGATAGAACTACTTACAGCGACGAGATGGACTGGTAGTTGAGCTAGATAGAACTACTTACAGCGACGAGATGGGCTGGTAGTTGAGCTAGATAGAACTACTTACAGTGACGAGATGGACTGGTAGGTGAGATAGAACTACTTACAGTGAGGAGATGGACTGGTAGGTGAGATAGATAGAACTACTTACAGTGAGGAGATGGACTGGTAGGTGAGATAGAACTACTTACAGCGACGAGATGGACTGGTAGGTGAGCTAGATAGAACTACTTACAGTGAGGAGATGGACTGGTAGGTGAGCTAGATAGAACTACTTACAGTGAGGAGATGGGCTGGTAGTTGAGATAGATAGAACTACTTACAGCGACGAGATGGACTGGTAGGTGAGATAGATAGAACTACTTACAGTGAGGAGATGGACTGGTAGTTGAGATAGATAGAACTACTTACAGCGACGAGATGGACTGGTAGGTGAGATAGATAGAACTACTTACAGTGAGGAGATGGACTGGTAGTTGAGATAGATAGAACTACTTACAGCGACGAGATGGACTGGTAGGTGAGATAGATAGAACTACTTACAGTGAGGAGATGGACTGGTAGGTGAGATAGATAGAACTACTTACAGTGAGGAGATGGACTGGTAGTTGAGATAGATAGAACTACTTACAGTGAGGAGATGGACTGGTAGGTGAGATAGATAGAACTACTTACAGTGAGGAGATGGACTGGTAGTTGAGATAGATAGAACTACTTACAGCGACGAGATGGACTGGTAGGTGAGATAGATAGAACTACTTACAGTGACGAGATGGACTGGTAGGTGAGCTAGATAGAAGTACTTACAGTGAGGAGATGGACTGGTAGGTGAGCTAGATAGAACTACTTACAGTGACGAGATGGACTGGTAGGTGAGCTAGATAGAACTACTTACAGTGAGGAGATGGACTGGTAGGTGAGATAGATAGAACTACTTACAGTGAGGAGATGGACTGGTAGGTGAGATAGATAGAACTACTTACAGTGAGGAGATGGACTGGTAGGTGAGCTAGATAGAACTACTTACAGTGACGAGATGGACTGGTAGGTGAGCTAGATAGAACTACTTACAGTGACGAGATGGAATGGTAGGTGAGATAGATAGAACTACTTACAGCGACGAGATGGGCTGGTAGGTGAGATAGAACTACTTACAGCGACGAGATGGACTGGTAGGTGAGCTAGATAGAACTACTTACAGCGACGAGATGGACTGGTAGGTGAGCTAGATAGAACTACTTACAGTGAAGAGATGGACTGGTAGGTGAGCTAGAACTACTTACAGTGAGGAGATGGACTGGTAGGTGAGATAGATAGAACTACTTACAGTGAGGAGATGGACTGGTAGGTGAGATAGAACTACTTACAGCGACGAGATGGACTGGTAGGTGAGCTAGATAGAACTACTTACAGTGAGGAGATGGACTGGTAGGTGAGCTAGATAGAACTACTTACAGTGAGGAGATGGGCTGGTAGTTGAGATAGATAGAACTACTTACAGTGAGGAGATGGACTGGTAGTTGAGATAGATAGAACTACTTACAGCGACGAGATGGACTGGTAGGTGAGCTAGATAGAACTACTTACAGTGAGGAGATGGACTGGTAGTTGAGATAGATAGAACTACTTACAGCGACGAGATGGACTGGTAGGTGAGCTAGATAGAACTACTTACAGTGAGGAGATGGACTGGTAGGTGAGATAGATAGAACTACTTACAGTGAGGAGATGGACTGGTAGGTGAGATAGATAGAACTACTTACAGTGAGGAGATGGACTGGTAGGTGAGATAGATAGAACTACTTACAGTGACGAGATGGACTGGTAGGTGAGCTAGATAGAAGTACTTACAGTGAGGAGATGGACTGGTAGGTGAGATAGATAGAACTACTTACAGTGAGGAGATGGACTGGTAGGTGAGCTAGATAGAACTACTTACAGTGACGAGATGGACTGGTAGGTGAGCTAGAACTACTTACAGCGACGAGATGGACTGGTAGGTGAGCTAGATAGAACTACTTACAGTGACGAGATGGACTGGTAGGTGAGATAGATAGAACTACTTACAGCGACGAGATGGGCTGGTAGGTGAGATAGAACTACTTACAGCGACGAGATGGACTGGTAGGTGAGCTAGATAGAACTACTTACAGCGACGAGATGGACTGGTAGGTGAGCTAGATAGAACTACTTACAGTGAGGAGATGGACTGGTAGGTGAGCTAGAACTACTTACAGTGAGGAGATGGACTGGTAGGTGAGATAGATAGAACTACTTACAGTGAGGAGATGGACTGGTAGGTGAGAGAGAACTACTTACAGTGACGAGATGGGCTGGTAGGTGAGAGAGATAGAACTACTTACAGCAACGAGATGGGATAGATAGAACTACTTACAGCGACTAGATGGGCTAATCGATGAGCAAGATAGGTCTTGCCAGTCTTCTCAGGTCCATAAAACACAACACTCTTGTAGTGTTCCAGCTGCGGATGATAGGATGACACTTACTACTCATTTATACAAATACATGTTACAAAGATACATTCCTTAGTCAATGATTGAAGCTTTTTGCTGCCTAACCTGTACAATCTAGTGTCACTGTGTCCAATACTACTGGAAACAAAGCACACAAATTAAAGGAAATAATATTTGAATTTTCATCAAAAAATTACAAAACTATATACATGGAAACAAAAACAAGATAAATTACAATCTAATTACAAAATGAAATATATAATTGGTTTTAAATACTGTTATACTAATAAGGCTACACTTAAGGACTCACCAGTCGTATGTAGTTATGTACAACCGAAACAGGAAACAATACATCCCAGGCTACACATTCCACAGAATCTACAAACAATAGAAATGAAATCAGAGCTCAAGATAGAAAATTGCTCGTGATTGTTTAGAGGACTGATAAAAGTTACCTCTGTCAGAAATCTACCTTTATACCACTACATATAGCTTATACTACAGGCTTTTGAGTTTGTATGTGCATATTATATTTTGCTTTAAAATATGTATCAACATACTTGCAAGAATAATGGTTATCTCCCTTCGACTACTTTCCCGGATCAGAGTATGTGGTAGTGTGTTGCTATGGGACCCGTGAACCCATCTGTAGTCTCCTGTAAAAGAAAATACAGACATTATCTTACAGACAAAGTGTTTCATTTTGTTAAATATCTACACTTCTATTAAAATCAACACTTCTTAATTCATTGACTGCCCCACTTCCACCTGACAAAACTAACCTATAGAGAACATGTGTATACACTCGGAATCCAGACCCAGGCTGTACTGTATGTTATCCATGCCAAGGTCTGGGTCCAGACGACTGGTGCGTTTGGTGCGAAGGCCGGTATCAATTTGTGAAAAGTAGTTGGAAAGAGAGTGTTTGAGACGTGTTTCAAGTCCGGCCCAGCTTAGACCTGCTTCCACTGACAGACTCCCTATGACAAACTTCTGGCTGGGTAGGTGTAGCGTTGTGAAATCGTCAGACAGGTTAGGGTACTGTATCTCTAATGTGATAGTCAAAAGAAGATCCTTTCCTCCTGCTGATATCAAAGACAGTCAAGGTTATAATCTGTTACACACAAACCAGGATACAGGTTATTTAAATATGATAGTATAAATAGACCATCTGGGTACACTGGGGGAAAATGTAAAGCAAAATAGCAACTATTCCCTATGTAAGGAATGTATTAATTGTTATACGTAGTAATTAACCATACAAAATTTAATAAACATCCAACTTTGTTTAAAAGAATGATAAAGACAGCAGTATGAAGATCTGAACATAGGCTATACTCATCTCCCTCTGGGCTATATTTATCTATGTCAGGGCTATACTTATCTCCCTCAGGACTATATCTATCTACGTCAGGGCTACATCTATCTCCCTCAGGGCTATATCTATCTCCCTCAGGGCTACATCTATCTACATCAGGGCTACATCTATCTCCCTCAGGGCTATATTTATCTATGTCAGGGCTATACTTATCTCCATCAGGGCTATATTTATTTACGTCAGGGCTACATTTATCTACGTCAGGGCTACATTTATCTACGTCAGGGCTACATTTATCTACCTCAGGGCTATATCTATCTACGTCAGGGCTATATCTATCTACGTCAGGGCTACATCCATCTCCCTCAGGGCTATATCTATCTCCCTCAGGGCTACATCTATCTACATCAGGGCTACATCTATCTCCCACAGGGCTATATCTATCTCCCTCAGGGCTACATCTATCTACGTCAGGGCTACATCTATCTCCCTCAGGGCTACATCTATCTACATCAGGGCTACATCTATCTCCCTCAGGGCTATATCTATCTCCCTCAGGGCTAAATCTATCTACATCAGGGCTACATCTATCTCCCTCAGGGCTACATCTATCTACATCAGGGCTACACCTATCTCCCTCAGGGCTATATCTATCTACATCAGGGCTACATCTATCATCTATCTACATCAGGGCTACATCTATCTCCCTCAGGGCTATATCTATCTCCCTCAGGGCTATATCCATCTACATCAGGGCTACATCTATCTCCCTCAGGGCTATATCTATCTCCCTCAGGGCTACATCTATCTACGTCAGGGCTACATCTATCTCCCTCAGGGCTACATCTATCTACATCAGGGCTATATCTATCTCCCTCAGGGCTATATTTATCTATGTCAGGTCTATATTTATCTATATCAGGGCTACATCTATCTACATCAGGGCTACATCTATCTCCCTCAGGGCTATATCTATCTCCCTCAGGGCTACATCTATCTACGTCAGGGCTACATCTATCTCCCTCAGGGCTACATCTATCTACATCAGGGCTACATCTATCTCCCTCAGGGCTACATCTATCTACATCAGGGCTACACCTATCTCCCTCAGGGCTATATCTATCTACATCAGGGCTACATCTATCTCCCTCAGGGCTATATCTATCTCCCTCAGGGCTACATCTATCTACATCAGGGCTACATCTATCTCCCTCAGGGCTATATCTATCTCCCTCAGGGCTATATCCATCTACATCAGGGCTACATCTATCTCCCTCAGGGCTATATCTATCTCCCTCAGGGCTACATCTATCTACATCAGGGCTACATCTATCTACATCAGGGCTATATCTATCTCCCTCAGGGCTATATTTATCTATGTCAGGTCTATATTTATCTATATCAGGGCTACATCTATCTACATCAGGGCTATATCTATCTCCCTCAGGGCTACATTTATCTCCGTCAGGGCTATATTTATCTACGTCACGGCTATATCTATCTCCATCAAGACAGATGACAAGACTAGATATATACACAACCAGAGACAATTTACAGTATAATTACACTTATGTCAGTTTGTAAAGATCTATGATACACTGATGGTATTGTAGGTAACAATGTCTTACTTCTTTGCTGTATAAACTCTTTGCATGGCACTGAAGCAATGTCCATAATGGTGCGTCCACATCGATCCTGATGCTGGAGGTTTACTTCACATCTGTTCATTATAACACCAAGGCAATCCTGTTAACAGAGTAAAACAATTAAATCACTCAGTCCCTGTAGTATACACAAAATACTACTATGTTAAAAAGGGTCAGGTGGTTGCAGTAATTCGGTTTGGTTTTGATTTTCTTTGTAATAGCAACATGAAAATTTAACACAAAACCTAGTGCTGTATTTTTCTGTCATAACCAATCTGTGTGGAACCTATACATGAAATCTGTGATAGGTAGCATGATATTTAAAATGAAGTCATTTCCAATTGTCTAGCTCACATACAACCCAAAAGGGAGGTAAGTTAGCTGAATTTTAAAATTGAATATCAAAATTTTTCTACAGTTTTGACGCAGGTATGTATGAGGGAAGATATCTATTACCAGCTTCTGTTCTAGTTTGCTCAGCCTAAAAAATTTTAAGTCCTTGACTGAAACAAAGTGTTCACTGATTCCGAATGCTTTTCACTGTTGCTAATACTGCAACCATGTAGTTTTAAACAATTCTAACTTATATGTAGCATTCAGAATAAATAGATGTGATACATTATCACTTTTGACACAGATTTAAAAAAAAATTAGAACTCATTTTTTAATGCTTCCTTTACATGACAATTTTACTAATGATTCTAAAAGATTGAAGAAAACTCCTTACAGGCAATGGTCTGATGGCAGCAACATATGAAACTGTCCAGCCGTCCTTGTCAGCCATATTGATGGCTCTCTGTACAGTGCCCTCACTCTGAGAGGCTGTAGAAGGGGATCCTGGAGGGTCACGATGGGGGCTTCGGGGGTTATATGTCAGAAGGGCATGCAGACATTCAACATGTCCAGGGTGAACAACACAATGGAGTGGTGTCCAACTGGTCTATAAAAAATACATAATTGGTAACTATTTATAGAGCAGAAGGGGATTAACCTTCTATTAATAGCACAATTAGGAAGCAATCTCTTTATATTCTTGAATTTAAATGGGTATTTATAAGCACAGAACGAGAAGAACAATTTATGAATAGCATAGATAGGAAGTAACAATCCCAGAATTCCAGATAAAAGGAAGTAACATTTCAAAAGAAAATGAACAACCTTTTCTTAGTAGAGCAGAAAAAACAGTTTTATAGTGTAACTGTCAATTAATCTACATTGAGTAATTATATGCTATATATCCTGAAGTATACAGTCAGCTGTGCCCCATAGTCCTGTAGTATCTTGGTGACTTACATTATACAGTCAGCTGTGCCCCATAGTCGTGTAGTATCTTGGTGACTTACATTATATAGTCAGCTGTGCCCCATAGTCCTGTAGTGTCTTGGTGACTTACATTATACAGTCAGCTGTGCCCCATAGTCGTGTAGTATCTTGGTGACTTACATTATATAGTCAGCTGTGCCCCATAGTCGTGTAGTATCTTGGTGACTTACATCATACAGTCAGCTGTGCCCCATAGTCGTGTAGTATCTTGGTGACTTACATTATATAGTCAGCTGTGCCCCATAGTCCTGTAGTGTCTTGGTGACTTACATTATACAGTCAGCTGTGCCCCATAGTCCTGTAGTGTCTTGGTGACTTACATTAGAGTATACAGTCAGCTGTGCCCCATAGTCCTGTAATATCTTGATGACTTACATTATACAGTCAGCTGTGCCCCATAGTCCTATAATATCTTGGTGACTTACATTATACAGTCAGCTGTGCCCCATAGTCCTGCAGTATCTTGGTGACTTACATTATACAGTCAGCTGTGCCCCATAGTCCTGTAGTGTCTTGGTGACTTACATTATACAGTCAGCTGTGCCCCATAGTCCTGTAGTATCTTGGTGACTTACATTATACAGTCAGCTGTGCCCCATAGTCCTGTAGTGTCTTGGTGACTTACATTATACAGTTAGCTGTGCCCCATAGTCGTGTAGTATCTTGGTGACTTACATTATACAGTCAGCTGTGCCCCATAGTCCTGTAGTGTCTTGGTGACTTACATTAGAGTATACAGTCAGCTGTGCCCCATAGTCCTGTAGTGTCTTGGTGACTTACATTAGAGTATACAGTCAGCTGTGCCCCATAGTCGTGTAGTATCTTGGTGACTTACATTATACAGCCAGCAGTGCCCCACAGTCGTGTAGTATCTTGGTGACTTACATTATACAGTCAGCTGTGACCCAAAGTCCTGTAGTATCTTGGTGACTTACATTATACAGTCAGCTGTGCCCCATAGTCGTGTAGTATCTTGGTGACTTACATTACACAGTCAGCTGTGCCCCATAGTCCTGTAGTATCTTGGTGACTTACATTATACAGTTAGCTGTGCCCCATAGTCGTGTAGTATCTTGGTGACTTACATTATACAGTCAGCTGTGCCCCATAGTCCTGTAATATCTTGGTGACTTACATTAGAGTATACAGTCAGCTGTGCCCTATAGTCCTGTAGTATCTTGGTGACTTACATTAGAGTATACAGTCAGCTGTGCCCCATAGTCCAATAGTATCTTGCAGCAGTCTGTATGCCCCTGAGTTGCGGCCAGATGCAGTGGTGTCCATCCTTGGTGATCTGTTAGGTTTGGTATGGCTCCTCGTTCCAGTAGCACCTGTACACACCTATAAAGAAATAGTGTCAATAATTACAGTTATAAAAGGTACAAATTGTTTTTAATGAACCAATCAACCTCTTAACATCCAACCTAAGATTAAAACAAGAAGCAAGAACCAATGTCATTTCAAAATATGTGGGGTGATCAGTGGGGTGATCAGTGGGGTGATCAGTGGGTTGATCAGTGGGTTGATCAGTGGGTTGATCAGTGGGTTGATCAGTGGAGTGATCAGTGGAGTGATCAGTGGGGTGATCAGTGGGGTGATCAGTGGGGTGATCAGTGGGTTGATCAGTGGGTTGATCAGTGGGGTGATCAGTGGGGTGATCAGTGGGGTGATCAGTGGGGTGATCAGTGGGTTGATCAGTGGGGTGATCAGTGGGGTGATCAGTGGGGTTATCAGTGGGTTGATCAGTGGGGTGATCAGTGGGTTGATCAGTGGGTTGATCAGTGGAGTGATCAGTGGGGTGATCAGTGGGTTGATCAGTGGGGTGATCAGTGGGTTGATCAGTGGGTTGATCAGTGGGTTGATCAGTGGGTTGATCAGTGGAGTGATCAGTGGAGTGATCAGTGGGGTGATCAGTGGGGTGATCAGTGGGGTGATCAGTGGGTTGATCAGTGGGTTGATCAGTGGGGTGATCAGTGGGGTGATCAGTGGGTTGATCAGTGGGGTGATCAGTGGGTTGATCAGTGGGGTGATCAGTGGGTTGATCAGTGGGGTGATCAGTGGGGTGATCAGTGGGGTGATCAGTGGCTTGATCAGTGGGTTGATCAGAGGAGTGATCAGTGGGGTGATCAGTGGGTTGATCAGTGGGTTGATCAGTGGGGTGCAGCCAGTTTAGTATGGTATCACTAGGTATGCAGAGCCTTGAAATAAAACACAATATTCAATACAAGTAGTTATAATTACAACATTACCAAACATCCCAAGCTAATGTTTTATTAATGGTCTACTAGTTTTGCCTCTAAGGGTGAGGATTCATCAGGATGACCTGCCACTGGTAATGTATGGGTATGTTGAAAAGAAACTACTTGTATTTAATATAAATTTGCAAGTGTTAATAAGCCCCCTCATCTCTAATCATGATCCTGTAATGGAATAACTTGATATCTACAGAGTAATTTGTATCTGGATGAGCTGTGACTAAAGTAGGCATGTAGACTAATGCATGTTGTAACAAGGAAAGGAAATATCTAAATAAAGTGTCAAAACTATGGAGAAAGCTTATCTGCAGCCAGGGAAACAACATTGAGCTCATTTTTGTTTTTTTGTTTTTTTTTAACTTTTATTTTCTGGAAAACATCAACAGTATGAAAGCCAAAGATTTTTATTCAAAAGGTTACATAATATCCTTTTCCAACTCTGAATAAATGTAGGATTTTACATGGTTTTCTATTTCATGTGTGATTTGAGTTTTTTTATTTTAGCAGGCCTTGAATTCACATCTATAATACAATAAGGCCATGACCATCAGTATTTGACATCCTTTACTGACAAGTATCATTACAAATACTTCTGAGAGAGTCAGAGGCAATGTGTTAGACCCCTAGCTTTACATAGTTTTACAAAACAGTAGTGCTATACTTCTCTCAACACCCAAAGTAAACAACAACACACACTTTATCTAGAACATGACAGGACTTAAGGCTGACGAGAAGCTCTAGCCGAAACACGACAGTACTTGAGAATGAAGATGAGCATATAAGTGTATATTGTTGAAATAAGTTCAAGGGTCCTTTAGCCTGAGTGTAAGTAGTAAGAATGATAATGATTTCAAGAATGTTCCTGAACAGCCACAGAAATAAATAAAACAGCAGTAGGCCATACTGATCCCTATCTGTACACTTGAAGGGTGTCAGAAATTGCTTGGATAACTTAAATATGGTCTAAAAAACCTGAACGCAGTAATTACAGTATACAAAACAAATCCTTTATGTAATAGATAGCTATCCCTAGACATACCATTGATAATTACACTTTATTTCAAAATCAAGTTCAGTTGAAACTCGTCTCGAAATCGCTTGAGTCCAAATTATGTTTGAGTCATAATAATTTGAAGTCCCAATTTTTTTCCCTTCTATATCTTTGTAATTTTAGTTTGGGTGACTTGAATTTCATTGAGTTAAATTAAGGTTGAGTCAAAATGATTTTTCAGCCCCTTTAATTGTAAAGCAAAGGAAAAGTCATTCATTGTCTCAAAATTAATTTTTGTCAATACATCAGCACCTCTTTTGACATGTGCGTGTTTTGTTCTTTGGATGAATAAAAAATAAAAGGAGAAGATAAGATAAATTCATTTGTTTATTTACAGCCATTTCAATTATCAGATTAAACGTTTATGTGCTATCGTAACCCTACTTCGTTCAACTGTAATCAATGTCAGGAAACTGATATTGTCAACCTTATTTATACACTTCATTTGAATCAAAATATGAATAAGTCAACATATTTTCCACGGACCCTTGAATTTTGAGATAACAAGTCTCAACTGTAATTTCTGAGAGTGAAAGTAGATACGGTTGTGATTCGAGAAGGGAGGCAACTACTTTTCAGATATGTCGTCTCTAAAACTGTATACATCAGATATGTCGTCTCTAAAACTGTATACGTCAGATATGTCCTCTCTAAAGCTGTATACGTCAGATATGTCCTCTCTAAAACTGTATACGTCAGATATGTCCTCTCTAAAACTGTATATATCAGATATGTCCTCTCTAAAACTGTATATATCAGATATGTCCTCTCTAAAACTGTATACGTCAGATATGTCCTCTCTAAAACTGTATACGTCAGATATGTCCTCTCTAAAACTGTATACATCAGATATGTCCTCTCTAAAACTGTATACATCAGATATGTCCTCTCTAAAACTGTATATATCAGATATGTCCTCTCTAAAACTGTATACATCAGATATGTCCTCTCTAAAACTGTATACATCAGATATGTCCTCTCTAAAACTGTATACATATGTCCTCTCTAAAACTGTATACATCAGATATGTCCTCTCTAAAACTGTATATATCAGATATGTCCTCTCTAAAACTGTATACGTCAGATATGTCCTCTCTAAAACTGTATATATCAGATATGTCCTCTCTAAAACTGTATATATCAGATATGTCCTCTCTAAAACTGTATATATCAGATATGTCCTCTCTAAAACTGTATATATCAGATATGTCCTCTCTAAAACTGTATATATCAGATATGTCCTCTCTAAAACTGTATATATCAGATATGTCCTCTCTAAAACTGTATATATCAGATATGTCCTCTCTAAAACTGTATATCGTCAGATATGTCCTCTCTAAAACTGTATATATCAGATATGTCCTCTCTAAAACTGTATATATCAGATATGTCCTCTCTAAAACTGTATATATCAGATATGTCCTCTCTAAAACTGTATATATCAGATATATATCAGATATGTCCTCTCTAAAACTGTATATATCAGATATGTCCTCTCTAAAACTGTATATATCAGATATGTCCTCTCTAAAACTGTATATATCAGATATGTCCTCTCTAAAACTGTATATATCAGATATGTCCTCTCTAAAACTGTATACATCAGATATGTCCTCTCTAAAACTGTATATATCAGATATGTCCTCTCTAAAACTGTATATATCAGATATGTCCTCTCTAAAACTGTATATATCAGATATGTCCTCTCTAAAACTGTATACATCAGATATGTCCTCTCTAAAACTGTATACATCAGATATGTCCTCTCTAAAACTGTATACATCAGATATGTCCTCTCTAAAACTGTATATATCAGATATGTCCTCTCTAAAACTGTATATATCAGATATGTCCTCTCTAAAACTGTATATATCAGATATGTCCTCTCTAAAACTGTATATATCAGATATGTCCTCTCAAAACTGTATATATCAGATATGTCCTCTCTAAAACTGTATACATCAGATATGTCCTCTCTAAAACTGTATATATCAGATATGTCCTCTCTAAAACTGTATATATCAGATATGTCCTCTCTAAAACTGTATATATCAGATATGTCCTCTCTAAAACTGTATACATCAGATATGTCCTCTCTAAAACTGTATATATCAGATATGTCCTCTCTAAAACTGTATACTGTATACATCAGATATGTCCTCTCTAAAACTGTATATATCAGATATGTCCTCTCTAAAACTGTATATATCAGATATGTCCTCTCTAAAACTGTATACATCAGATATGTCCTCTCTAAAACTGTATATATCAGATATGTCCTCTCTAAAACTGTATATATCAGATATGTCCTCTCTAAAACTGTATATATCAGATATGTCCTCTCTAAAACTGTATATGTCAGATATGTCCTCTCTAAAACTGTATATATCAGATATGTCCTCTCTAAAACTGTATACATCAGATATGTCCTCTCTAAAACTGTATATATCAGATATGTCCTCTCTAAAACTGTATATATCAGATATGTCCTCTCTAAAACTGTATATTTCAGATATGTACTCTCTAATACTGTATATATCAGATATGTCCTCTCTAAAACTGTATAATCAGATATGTCCTCTCTAAAACTGTATATATCAGATATGTCCTCTCTAAAACTGTATATATCAGATATGTCCTCTCTAAAACTGTATATATCAGATATGTCCTCTCTAAAACTGTATATATCAGAATGTCCTCTCTAAACTGTATATATCAGATATGTCCTCTCTAAAACTGTATATATCAGATATGTCCTCTCTAAAACTGTATATATCAGATATGTCCTCTCTAAAACTGTATACATCAGATATGTCCTCTCTAAAACTGTATATATCAGATATGTCCTCTCTAAAACTGTATATATCAGATATGTCCTCTCTAAAACTGTATATGTCAGATATGTCCTCTCTAAAACTGTATATATCAGATATGTCCTCTCTAAAACTGTATATATCAGATATGTCCTCTCTAAAACTATGTCCTCTCTAAAACTGTATACATCAGATATGTCCTCTCTAAAACTGTATATATCAGATATGTCCTCTCTAAAACTGTATATATCAGATATGTCCTCTCTAGATATCAGATATGTCCTCTCTACAACTGTATATATCAGATATGTCCTCTCTAAAACTGTATATATCAGATATGTCCTCTCTAAAACTGTATATATCAGATATGTCCTCTCTAAAACTGTATACGTCAGATATGTCCTCTCTAAAACTGTATATATCAGATATGTCCTCTCTAAAACTGTATACGTCAGATATGTCCTCTCTAAAACTGTATATATCAGATATGTCCTCTCTAAAACTGTATATATCAGATATGTCCTCTCTAAAACTGTATATATCAGATATGTCCTCTCTAAAACTGTATATATCAGATATGTCCTCTCTAAAACTGTATATATCAGATATGTCCTCTCTAAAACTGTATATATCAGATATGTCCTCTCTAAAACTGTATACATCAGATATGTCCTCTCTAAAACTGTATACGTCAGATATGTCCTCTCTAAAACTGTATATATCAGATATGTCCTCTCTACAACTGTATATATCAGATATGAGGAGCAAAGATATGTGAGAAATTGGGGCAGTTGATTTGTTTACTGGAGATAATCTGTACCTGTGGCCAAGGACATTGTCTTTTATTGATGGATAGAGATTAAGTGTCCATTACTTAATGGTGCAGTTGTGGTGTGCTAACACTTACATTTTGTGTCCCTGAACTGCAGCAGCATGGAGAGGACTGTACTTGTTATCACGGCAGGAATTTGGGTTGGCACCCTGATCCAGGAGAATTGACACGCACTCTGTAAAACAGCAAAATCACAATCTGTCCTCACTGTGATCTCTATAAAACGCCATATAAACAACACATAGAACATACTATAAAACGCCATATAAAGTACACATAGAACATACTATAAAACACCATATAAAGTACATATAGAACATACTATAAAACGCCATATAAAGTACACATAGAACATACTATAAAACGCCATATAAACAACACATAGAACATACTATAATACCCCATTTAAACAACACATAGAACATACTATAATACCCCATTTAAAGTACACATAGAACATACTTAAACCACACATAAAGGGTCCTAAAATACCCCATATAAACAACACATAGAACATACTATAATACCCCATTTAAAGTACACATAGAACATACTATAATACCCCATTTAAACAACACATAGAACATACTATAAAACGCCATATAAAGTACACATAGAACATACTATAAAACGCCATATAAACAACACATAGAACATACTATAAAACGCCATATAAAGTACACATAGAACATACTATAAAACGCCATATAAACAACACATAGAACATACTATAATACCCCACACAAACCACACATAGAACATACTATAAAACGCCATATAAACAACACATAGAACATACTATAAAACGCCATGTTACGTACACATAGAACATACTATAAAACGCCATATAAACAACACATAGAACATACTATAATACCCCATATAAACAACACATAGAACATACTATAAAACGCCATGTTACGTACACATAGAACATACTATAAAACGCCATATAAACAACACATAGAAAATACTATAAAACGCCATATAAACAACACATAAAACATACTATAATACCCCATTTAAACAACACATAGAACATACTATAATACCCCATTTAAACAACACATAGAACATACTATAAAACGCCATGTAACGTACACATAGAACATACTATAAAACGCCATATAAAGTACACATAGAACATACTATAAAACGCCATATAAAGTACACATAGAACATACTATAAAACGCCATATAAACAACACATAGAACATACTATAAAACGCCATATAAACAACACATAGAACATACTATAATACCCCATTTAAACAACACATAGAACATACTATAAAACGCCATATAAACAACACATAGAACATACTATAATACCCCATTTAAACAACACATAGAACATACTATAATACCCCACACAAACAACACATAGAACATACTATAATACCCCATATAAACAACACATAGAACATACTATAATACCCCATTTAAACAACACATAGAACATACTATAATACCCCATTTAAACAACACATAGAACATACTATAAAACGCCATATAAACAACACATAGAACATACTATAATACCCCATTTAAACAACACATAGAACATACTATAATACCCCACACAAACCACACATAGAACATACTATAATACCCCATTTAAACAACACATAGAACATACTATAATACCCCATTAAAACAACACATAGAACATACTATAATACCCCATTTAAACAACACATAGAACATACTATAATACCCCATTTAAACAACACATAGAACATACTATAATACCCCCATTAAAACAACACATAGAACATACTATAATACCCCATTTAAACAACACATAGAACATACTATAATACCCCATTTAAACAACACATAGAACATACTATAATACCCCATTTAAACAACACATAGAACATACTATAATACCCCATTTAAACAACACATAGAACATACTATAATACCCCATTAAAACAACACATAGAACATACTATAATACCCCATAGAAACAACACATAGAACATACTATAATACCCCATTAAAACAACACATAGAACATACTATAAAACGCCATATAAACAACACATAGAACATACTATAATACCCCACACAAACAACACATAGAACATACTATAATACCCCATAGAAACAACACATAGAACATACTATAATACCCCATAGAAACAACACATAGAACATACTATAATACCCCATATAAACAACAGAGGTAAAGTCCTTTTAATACCCCATATAAACAACATATAGAATGTATTATAATATTTATCTAGGTAATCACCCTTGTTTGTTTGGGGTTTCTTATTGTGGTAAAACCAGTGAACCCATGAAAACCCATGTGGTCAGGCAGACGACCCTACAAATTTGCATATTAAGGCAATTGAGAGATTCAATCAAACCCTATAAGTAAAAAGAAAGTTACCAGTCCACACCAGAATCTCACATAGGGACATGACAAGCTTATAATGTCAACATATTGGTATATAGTAACATTTTTTTCCAATTACATAAAAAATAGCTAATCTATCACATATATCTTGGTTTCCAGTCAGGAAAGGTCATCCAATTAATTTTCTTCCTGATCAGCAAAAAGGACAGAAAATTTTGCTATTAGATAGAACATAGTGTTACCTACCCTGGTGTCCAGACTCCGCAGCACAAAGAAGGGGTGTGGTCCCGTCCTTGAGGGGGAGGTTCACATCAGCCTCCCTATCAAGAATGAGTTGGCGCAAGGCATCCTGGTCACCATCATGAGCACGCTTGTGGATTGGTGAGAAGACAATATCGGCAGGGGTAGGGGAGCAGTTAGGCAGAGCAGATGTAGGGGGAGGGGCTAAATGATGTGAACTATCCGTATCTGTAACAAAATTAGTACACTATGATGTGTTTGTTACACAAAACATTTTACAATTAAACTTCCATGATTAGAGAGTACAATAGATACATTGTTTATATGTCAATTTCAAAATATGAAGTAAATAAATATACAAAAATAAAGACTCATATTAGGTATGGTCTATCCAGTCATTAATTCATTTTGTAAAATGAGTAAACTTTGCATAGTTTTGCCTCTAGTCTGTATACAGGAAAGATTAACCTGACAATCTTTGGTAAATCTGATCTGACATTTGAATGATGTAATTTATAAAATAAAACTTGTAAGTTTATCTTAAGAATTCCAACAAATAAACATCAAAACTTTTCCCTCAGTTAGACACTGTGTAATACAGCTAAGATAAAATGTGATAGCTATCATTCCTAATCTTTCTCTCCGGATCTCTGTGTAACTAGGTCAACACGTTTAGACATTTAATGTTGTTTTAGAAGAGAAATATGTCTGTTAAAATTCCAAACTTGAAACAAGCCCAGGGCCATGCAGTGAAGAACATGCTGAGTGTAATCCCTACTTGAAGCAAATTAAACATGTTGGTAGTCTTAGACCAACAAGATGGAGAAGATAAGAGGGATGAAATAGATAGGACCATACTCAGCTATAGACATGCATTCTGCCCTCCACACTAACCAAAATATGATAGTCATTGCTAAAAAATCCAAAAATTTGGACAAAATTAAATGAGTGATATATCACTACATGTATATACCACCTGTAAACTCCAAATACACGGATGTCTTACACCATAAATATTCCACATGTAGTAAACATGCCTGGATGTAAACAAGGTTTTTTAATCTGCGTTAAACATTTATATAATTCAACCTTGAGTCCACTGTAAAACATTCACATTGCGGTTGTACAACCTTTTGATGATACATGTTACTCTGGATATGTTATCATTCTCAGCTGAAAATATAGAGACCAAGCATAAATTTAGACTACCATACACATCCTCCATTAAGCCCATGTCCTGCAATAAGCCCACACATATCTATTTCTGTTCTGTATTTATAAATATTTTTCTATGGTCCTGTAATAAGCCCACACATATTTATTTCTGTTCTGTATTTAGAAATAGTTTTTTTCCCCTGTCATAAGCCCAATCCCCTGGTTTTGAGATACAAGTGTGCTGCTCCCCATCCTCTAGGCTTATTACAGGACACATGCAGTTGTATGAGTATCCAGTCCAGAACAGATGGCTAACATCATCACTTTGTTTGCCATCTCCACATCTTCCTTGAAATACACACAAAAATCCCTTATAAAATTGAAAGGAATGTAAGATTCTGTTCATCACATAACTTTGATACTTTCATATCAGGATACATTTGGGAAAGCATTATTTTATCCTACTGATACAAAATCTTATTTTGTGATGTCACCATGGAAACAACAGGAACTTTCAGCCAATCACAGCTCTGCTATCTCATATTACACATGGTCCATCACAAAAACTTACTGTAATAGTCAGGTATAACAATTTTTTTAGCATCTCCTTCCAAGGAATCATAACCATGTTACGTTACATTGATTTATATACCTCAAATATATGTTTATAAGACTTGATCTTAATTGCTCATGTATTTTTTAAGGTAAACTACCGATGCTAAATGTGACCATACTTGTTTTCATAACCACATATTCCATAAACGTGGTTAGAGAAGGATAATTACAACATGGTAGGAACTTATACATAACTTGTTGGCAACAGGTAGATTTTGACAACAATTAAGAGATAATGGAATATATACATACTGGTCTTATCACTCAGAAATACTTCTCAATACTGAATGGTCCTAGACCTTAATCAGAACAATACATGCCTGGCAGAACAATCAAAGGGTTTCACTTGAAAAGCTTAAAAATCAGATTTTACTAAATTTCTAATAAGTTTTTCCCCAAGCTGCTTGATGACTTTACTACCATATTAGCAAAAAGCAGAAGCTAGAAATTAGAAGTTTTCCTACAGGAATGGCACACCAGAAAGTATGCAGTATACAAGGTTCTAATCTAACTACAGGATGCATGCAAGTGCATTGAAATTAAAAGCAAAAATACGAAGACTGTTGGAGACATAAGTCTAACTGTACATGTTAATCGGAGATAATGATAGAGAAGGATACACTGCTGACAAAACCATCAGGGATTCAGTCAGGATCAATATTCTGAAAAAGTAAGTGTTTAGGAAAAGGCTGTCATGACTTACGCAGAATTACACCTTCATTACAACACCCTTAAACTTGTTCTCAAACTTTTTAATTCTGAAGTTGTTGGAACTGATATACTGTGATATCATAATGACATCCTGTTTGACAATATTATATCACTTCCTTATCTCATCTCTATCTGCATAGGATATAAATGATAGATTTCAGTGAATTAAAAGTTGTCCAAAGTTTGATGACATAACATTTAATATAAGTTTGCAAATGAATTATACACAGATCATAATTCATTTTACTGATGTGTTTCAAAAATGTAAAATAGCAATTATCGAACTTATTTGGCTTAGGAGCCTTATAAAATTGTTTTTCTAGATACAGGACCTGATGTTAAGAACGGTTTACTTTTTCCATCTGTGTCAGTACTGTTAAATATTAGCGAAGGCCCTTACATGCTGACAAATACTTATAGTCCCATATTGTTTCTTGTAAGTTACATGAAGCCATCCTCATCGTAAACAAGCATGGCAGTCATTCTAGAATTTTACCTACAACCTGATGACCTATCGTTCCCAGGATGCAACAGGCTAATGCAAACTACCGCTTTGGCTTCCGAATCAACCACGAAAGTCCTTGAGATATTATTGTGATTTATATTACAAGGTATGATTAATTAAATCCCTGAAAATTGTGTTTTTTATTCCAATCCTAAAATCATCCTGTATACCATTGCAAATGACTGTTCTAGACAATCTGTTTCAACATCTGATGGATAAGTAATAGTAATTTGTTGTTTTTTTTCCATTCTGCAGATTTTTTTTGTCCACATATTAGTTGCACTGGTACATAAGCTGAACTCCCGACCGCCTAGAAAAAGACTGTGGCTTATAATCAGGAAAATACGATACGTACAATGTTGGTATAATTTTGGACATGCAGCTATGTAAAAATGTTACAATGTTTTTGGTTTTTTTCAAAAATATGCAAGTTGAGAACCAGTTATTTTTTAGATGTGGTTCATGATGGTGTATACTGTAAAACATATTTTACATGCAGGTACACAATATCCAAGTATTACATTGGGCATACAGCTACCTAGTGATGTCTAATTCTCCACACGTGTACGTTGTTCACTTACCTGTAAAATACCTGTTTTATTAAAAGCTCATTTAAGATGTGCAGAGAGAGGTAAGCTTAAGTCATGTGCTGAAAAGTCATTCCATGGTGTGTTACAAAACCAAAAATAAAGGCACAGAAAAAAGCTGCCTACTGCATATGAAAAGAGTCTTGTTAAGGCCATCAGATTTCTGGAACAACTTATCATTCATCCTATATACATACTGGAAAAAAGCAACCACTTGTGTTTTATTTACCTTTTGAAATGCGAGTCCATGGGTTCAGTGTTGAGGTAGCTCTGTCAGATAGATACATTTTAAATCTTGTGAAATGATGGGATAATTGTGCCGTGTACATGATACACAGAGCTGCTGTATAGAGGTTGTTGTTACATCACAAATCATGGTACATGATGCACATAAACAAATATAATGGATGCTGAAAACATGTCCCAGTGTAAACAGCCAGCTAATCACAATGCTTAAGTGGACATGACTAAACTTTACAGTACTACCATACAGTTCTATATCAAACATTATCATAATGCAGTCACTGTAGAGCCAACTCTCTACTTACTCTCATTGAATGGCCACACCAGATACATTAATGGTGCAACATTTACTAGATTAGGGATCTGATCACACAACTAACAGCTGGGAATTATCCTAATTTGATAAACTTGAGGGGAAAAAATCTACAGATTGATACAACTGGGTATTAGCTATGATCAAGAGCCATTCAATGGGAACTTACACTGGGCTTGAGAATTCTACAATTGTAATTAAAAAAAAATAAGTCAGGTAGTGAGTATTCTGATGTAAAATCCTAAGTACTGAGTGAACTATATCCAGCAGATTTCAGCTATACAGCAAACTTAAATGAGCACCTTTCAGTTAAAATAGTAATAATAATAATGATAATAATAATAAAATAGACACAGGCTTATTAAGCCTATATATCCAAATCAGAGTTAAGAAGAATAAGTATGGAGTGGAGTTTACCTAGCAGACTTTAGCTACCTGGTAAGTATGTGAAGTTTACCTAGCAGACTTTAGCTAAGTATGTGAAGTTTACCTAGCAGAATTTAGCTAAGTATGTGAAGTTTACCTAGCAGACTTTAGCTAAGTATGTGAAGTTTACCTAACAGATTTTAGATAAGTATGTAAAGTTTACCTAACAGATTTTAGATAAGTATGTGAAGTTTACCTAACAGATTTTAGATAAGTATGTGAAGTTTACCTAGCAGATTTTAGTTAAGTATGTGAAGTTTACCTAACAGATTTTAGTTAAGTATCTGAAGTTTACATAACAGATTTTAGTTAAGTATGTGTAGTTTACCTTACAGATTTAAGATTAAGAACCAGTAACCTAGTAAGTGTGTTGTACACACTTCAGTAACATCTATACTTATAAATCTGATGTCACCTCTAAACCTCAAGAGACCTGATGGGCTTACACCACCACTGTAACTAGTTCTGACATCAACAAGAGGCCTGATGGGCTTACACCACCACTGTAACTAGTTCTGACATCAACAAGGGGCATGATGGGCTTACACCATCACAGTAACTAGTTCTGACATCAACAGGGGGCCTGATGGGCTTACACCATCACAGTAACTAGTTCTGACATCAACAGGGGGCCTGATGGGCTTACACCATCACTGTTACTAGTTCTGACATC